AAAAAAAAAAAAAAAAAAAAAAAAAAAAAAAAGAGGAGTTGTAATAGTCACAAGATCAAATTCCTGTAAAGCTGACTCGGCCCTTCTGAAATTTGGCAACGTTTATTGTTGGTCTTTTGAATCAGCTTAAATATTGGGCAGCTTTTCTGAACTGTATGGATATTAAATGTCCTTCTCTTTCAGATAGGGATCCAACCATGTGCTCTTCTTGAAAGTATAAAGGAATCTTGGAAAACAGGGCTGGAAAGAACCTCAAGAAGTAATCCTTCCCCTCACCTCGAGGAATAGCAACAATTCCTAAATATTTCCTGACAGATGTTTGCCTATCCTGTTCTTACAAACCTCATCTCTATGCAACTTCTAGTGTTTAACTATCTGTCCAGCTAAAAAGTTTTATCCAGTCTCTCATCTACGTTTTGTTGCTGTAATTTTAGCATGTCACTTCTTGAGCTATGGCCCATAGACATGGATAATTATTTCATTCTTCTTTGGAGGAATCTTTTGCATATTTGAAAATGTGTGTCACGCCTCAATCTTTTCTAGGATGAACACACTCCATTTTTTTCAATCTTTCCGTAGAGGTCATGCTTTCTAGACCTCTCATCATTTTTATTGCTCTGCTTTGGAGCCTCTCCAACTGGTTCACAACTTCCTTGAAATGTGGTGCCTAAAACTGCACAGAATAGACCAGCTGAGGCCCTACCAGTACTGAGTACAGTGGAAATATTACTGGATGTCTTGCATATGACACTCTTATTAATATATCCCAGTATGGCGTTTGCATTTTCACAACAGCATGGCGCTGATTTTTTGTTTAGTTTGCGATCTGCTGTAATGGCTACTTAGCAGGTCACTCCCCATTTTGTATTTGTACTACTGACTGTTTCTACCTAAGGGTGTAATTTTGCCTTTGTCCATATTGAGTTGCAGCCTATTTGTTTCATGCTGTTGCTTTAGCATGTCAAGATTGTCTCAAATTCTAATCCTGTCTTGTCATGTGCTTCAAACACCAAACTAATTTAAGGGGTGTATTTGGTAGCCGTTTTGGTCTGAGACAAAAAAAAAAAAAAAAGGAAAGGCAAAACTCTAAAACTTGGTTCAGAAATGATACCTTTTATTAGACCAACTAAGACATTGCACTAAAAATTATCTTTCTTTGCAAGCTTTTGGACTAATTTAAACCAAACGTATTTAAGCGTACTCTGTTCCATTATCAAAGTCATTCATGAAAATATTGAATAAGACCTGTGTTAAAACAGGTCCGTACTGGATACATGCTTTCCGTCTGACAAGGAACCATTGATAATTATTCTTCCAGTATGGGTTTTCTAGCTAGTTGTGCACCTGTCTTTTAGTGCAGACTGTGTTTCCGTGGCATGTTTATGAGAGTGTGCGAATCAAAAGTCTTTCCAAAGTCAAGATGCATCCCATTGACCGCTTCACCGCATCCACAAGGCCTGTTCCTCTGTCACAGAAGGGAAGCAGATTGATATCATTTAAACTTTTCTTGATAACCCCCTGTTGGCTTTTACTTGTTGTTACTTATTGCTGTGTTATCTTCTATTGTTTACCAATAGATTATTTGTTTCAGTATCCTTCTGGGAATTGAAGTTAGGTTATCTGATCTGTTATTCCCTTGGCCCACCTTCACCCCCACCATCCCTCTTTAAAGAAAGGCATTGTGTTTGTTCTTTTACAGTCCTCTGGAGTCTTACCTGTCCTTTCCGAGTTCCCAAAGATTATCGCTGTCTGCTCAAAGATTGTTTCACCCACTTTCCTAAGAACATTATAGCATGGATGCCAGCAGTCTAACTTGATCTGAAAGCAGCTAATTTGTCTAAGTAGGCTGTAACCTGTCCTTTCTCTGTTCTGGCCTGAATTTTTACACCCTTGTCTCCTGATATTAATTGGGGTCGTCCATCACAGTTAAATTTTTTAGTATAGTTTTAGGTAAAAAGGACAGTGAAACACTCAGCATTATCTGTTACCAGTCTTCTCTGATCGGGTAGTGAACCAACTCCCTTTTTCCTAGATTGTTGTCGTCTTACCCCAGTGCATTGTATAAAATGTTTCCTTATTACCTATTAGGTCCCTTTCTAGTTGCCATATTCACTTGAATACAAGACGAGGTTTGTCTCCCCCCACACAGCATGGGTGGGACTAGCATTACAAGGAAACCCCTGTGAGAGAAGTTATATTTTACTTTGAGGTTTATTTGCATCACAAAATGGGAAAAACTAGCCCAGAACAGGGCTACATGGCAATGCCTTTTGAGAGAAGGTCTGTTGCACTTTGAATAAAGCTGTCTCACCCTGGAGGCAGGAAAAACAACAGAAATGGAAACAAAGGAAACAAGACCGCCCAACCCTGACTTTAACGACCACTTGTGGCATCTGCCAGAGTCTGCAGCTCTAGGATCAGCCCTGTCAGCTATCATAGCTATCAATGGACTCATCTACAACTCTTTGCTTGACCACTGGGAGTGATCACCCTCGATTGTGGGGGATCACTGCTGGACAAGGAAACTTCATAAAATACATTGTCCATCAGTGGGTCAGACTGGCCAGTGTATGTCAGCAGGGGCAGCCAATTTCTGAGTGTACCAACCTGTTCATCCTGTTTTGTTGCTGCTTCTGCTTTTTTACAGCCATTGGGCTTCCCCATCCAGGGGGGCTATCACATGCATTATGTCAATGAAACCCTTAGGTTCCTGGATGCTTCTCAGCCTAGCTATCCCTTCCTGTAGTTGCTCCAACTGGTTCTTGAGGGATTCCACCAGCAGTCACCTCTCACATCACACTGTTTCCTATGTCTAACATAGTTTTCTTTACCAGTGTTATTTATGCCACATTTCGTGCATGTCCAGACCCAGAACCTTGGTCAAAGACCCAGGGCTATGATCCTTGTCTGGGTATGGCACCCAGGTGCAGGTAGAGGACTTGCTAGCAGCAGAGTTGGATTTGTCAGTGCTGCATTTCCCAGCCACTTTGGTACTGTGTATTATGACCCCTGAAAACTCTTCTTACATTCCCTCTCTCAACTCCCAAGGTCAGTAGGGTATCGCAAATCACTAAGCACCTAAGCTTTTAAACTCTTTTGTTTAGGTCAGCTCTGTTTTCCCCTTGCTTAAAGTGCAGCAGTGATTGAGCGGTAGAAGGCTAGAGCCCCTACCGTTCCACTCAGATTGCAGGCCTCTGGCCCCACTCACTCAGTCCCCAGGCACACTGGTATAAATTACAGATAATGAATGAATATCTGTAAAACCAATCAAATTCGCCCATCTCCAAGGATCAAGGACTTGCTTCTTCCTGATGAGGACAGGTTCCACTCAGCACTGCTCTGTTTGTTGCTGTCCTGTGTGCTAGCTATCCTTTCCCCCATTTGTATTGTGAGAGTTGAGTCATTCCCTTCCTATCCAAGGCATGACGACATTGCAGTGTTATTCTGTATATATGATTTGTAAATTGTTTTCAGATCCTTCAGGATGAAAGATAGTGTGACAACATGTAAACTATTACTATTCCTGGTAATGCCCAGAAAAGGATTATTCTCATTACCGTCATTCATTTTATGAAACTATTGCTTCATTTAAATTTCAGTTTCTGGATGGAGACTTTATTTTGACATACATTATATACTTTATATATATTATATATGTGTAGTATGTATTATGTATATGTTATACATTTTCAGTGCATGTTTGTACGTGCATAATATATTTGTATGGTGTTTTCTAAAGTGGTGGTCTTTGTTCTCTTCTTGTTTTTAGGGTACATCCAATCCTGATGGCTATATTTCTACTCTTCCTGGTTCCAGTGTTGTGTTCCACTGGCCACGTAATGATTATGATCAGTTGTTATGTGTACGGCTAATGGATGTCCCCAATTGCATTTGGTCTGGCGGCTTTGAAGTCAACAAAAATAACTCCTTCCATATTAACATGAGGTAGTTAACTGCTCATCACTTTTTTTAGTGGTTTCCTGTAATAGAGACAAAAATCTTTAGCCTTCAAGTGCAATAACCCAAGACAGAATTCATTCTGTATTCTGCCTTTCTTTTTGATGTAGTGTGAAAGGCAGATAACCCAAAATTCAACAAGTGGGTGGTATGTATTAGGATTAAAAGATCTGTTTGTTGATGCTTATTTGTATTTGCTGTTAGCTGGGAAGGAGTCTAGGCTTTCTTCATGCTCTTTCTTGCACTGTTGTACTTGGACATTGAAGTCCAGAGTTCTGTCAGCATGGAGATGATTCAGCTCATCTATATCCAAGTGGTAGCCTGATTTTAAGAATCTGATGAGGACAGAGAAATAATAATTGGATATACTTTGGGGAAGTCCTTTGTAAGCAAGTTCTTTAGCTCAAAGGCCAAGTTTTATTAGTTTTCCACTCTACCATTTTTAATATGTCTGTTTGCAAATTCTAAATATATCTAATTGCTCTCTTAATGAAATGATTTGGCTGATTACTACAGCATTGGTTAACAGTGCTGACCGAGATAGTAGTGGTTAGCTCCAGTATGGCACGTGCTTAAGAATGCATTAAACATATTTTGTTGTTTTGTTTAACATTCTTCAGGGACACTCTTGGGAAATGTTACTTTTTACGAGTAGAAATTACCCTTCGAGGAGCTACATACCGCATCTCATTCAGTGACACGGATCAGTTACCCCCTCCTTTTCGCATAGACAATTTTTCCAAGGTAAAAGAGCTTTAGCTCTAGTAAAAATATGGGTGTGTGCACTGAACACATTTTTGGTATCCTGTAGGAGGAATAACGCACCTGTGTTTCTAATGAAGTAATCGGGACGGTCACATAGTAAGAAACATTTGTGTATTTAGGTATTAACCTTTCTTTAGTGTCCAATACAAATTGATATTCTAGATTTCTTACTTGAATTTGTGTTCTTGTGGAAATGGTCAGCTTGGCAACTTTGGAAGAAAAATGAAACCTATGTGCAAAGTTTATTAGCAGCCATCCTCAGATAGTCTTTAATGATGAGACTTGTGTGAAGAAAATAAACTCCTCAAAAGAAAGTAGAAATGGAAAAGTTGCAAAATGTTTCAGTTGGTTCATGCAAGAAACAGCCAAATGACTTGAGTAACACAAATGACTTGCAGAAAAGCTAAAAGTTGCAGTCCTGAACGACCACACTAGCTGACTGCAGAATCTTTTACACATTTTTTCCCTGTTTTATTGCAGGTCCCAGTTGTTTTTATTCAGCACAGTGTTGCAGAACCCAGGCTCTGTACTGAAGTGAAGTCAATGACCTCTTTAGATTATGCATGGGATGAACCTACCCAACCACCTTTTATTTTGCTGGCAGTGAAAGGGGCAGGCTCCTCAGAAATCACCTGCAGTATGAATGACTTCCAAGACAGCAAACAGCTTTATTATGAAAATTTCATTTATATTGCTGCCACACATACTTTCTCAGGGTAACTTTTATTTTGCATTGAAAAAGTGTATTTTTTTTACCCATTAGTCAAAGTTCTTTTGTTTCAAAACTGCTGATGTTTTACAGTATTGCTCTTTGAAAGGATTTCCAAAACTGCCGTTAGTATAAGATGATTACATCATCTCTGCCATTGCAAAGACAAATTTATTTTACTGGCAATCAAGGAAATGCCTAGTCCGCCATGAAGCAACATGTGGGCAGGAGGAAGCTTAGTAATGGCACCCAGTGGGAGGTGGAAAGTAGGGGAACTGCTTTCCTAGGAGAGTATCTGTGGATATCTGATCATTGTGATATCTCCAAGTGGAATGAGCATAGCTGGATGTGTCAGATTAGTGGGCATTGATCTGTGTGGGAGGTTATCTTTTATAAAATCTCTGAGTATAGCATGTGAGAGTTGTAACTATATTCTTTTTGTTATTGACTCTGCCCTTTGGAGACTGAGCCCAGGATTAGTGAAAAACGTAGCTTAAATATTACAGAGACCTTAAAGCACACAAAGCAAGTATGTTGCTTGCCAGTTGTTCTGGAACGTGTCAGAACCACTTCCATATAAATAACTGTTGAAAGAAGCCTCATTTGAGGCTGATCTGCCATGTTTCAGCTTGTTCACAATTGTAGGACTGAGGCAAAAGCCACTTAAGCCACTTAGCCCTTAAAATTGATGTAAACAATCTAAAAAGTAATGTTAAATTGAACTCTGAAGTTCAATTTATTTGGCTTCCGTGAACAATATAAGATGAATAATAGGACTAGAATAATAGAAACAAAGCACCTTTAAGAGTAAAAGTATTATACTAATAGTTTATATTAATGAGCCCGTGATAAGATGGCAGATCAACATAAAGGATTACCTGATTTTAATTTGTCTGCAATGGAGTGAAGAACAAACATAAGTGGGCATGTTTGTCTGTTGTTATTCTGGTTCAGTCTTCAACAGAAGCAGCAACTCTTTATAGGTATATGTCTGAATACAGATTGGATTTTCTTGGTATTCTAGTTTGCAAGAAGGAACTGGAAGACCAGTCGCTTCAAATAAAGATGTTGCTTATGCAGAGCTTGTCCTGGATGTTTCTCCAAAGACCCAGAGAGTCATACTAAAGAAGAAGGTACAAACTTACTGACACTTGGCAGGGGGAAGAAAAGAGAAGTACTTGGCTAGGACCACAGTTGATGTATGACTCTAGTAGCATTTAAAACCTTTAGCAGCCTTATCCAAATATTGCTCAATTGCATTTTTTTGAAGTTACGTATTTGGCATTGCAAAATGCTTCACTGTCTGTTACAAAATAATTCATGATACAAAGGATGCTGATTTCCAGAGCATAATAGTCAGACAATAAAAAAAGTGTGATGTGGGGTAAGACCTGAAGGGGGTTGGAGAAGGAACAGAGAGGAACTGCGTTTTAGGGTTGGATTTTTAAGAGTAATAGCACCTGCCGTATGGAGACAGGGAAAAGATGCGACAATAGACAATGGCACTGCAACCCAAGCATTTCTTTCCTAACTTTTAAGAAACACATTTATGTACGTTTTTAAATAAATAGCATCTGCTTTAAAAGAATTTTAGAATCCTAATAGTGTTCATTAGTAACGTAGCCTGACCTCTACGGTTACAACAGTGTGGAGGATTTATGCTCATTCAATATCTGTGCAGAAATCAATGGATTTTGATTGCCATAGATTTTAGTATACTTTAATGGAGTTTTTCATCTTTGTGTATGTTCTTCAGGAGCCAGGGAAGCGATCCCAGCTTTGGAGGATGACTGGCACTGGAATGCTTTGCCATGAAGGCTCCTCAGTTCCTCATAATCCAAATAAGCCTTCTCCTCCTCGATCTGTTGAGTCCTGTCTGATCTTAGATATCGCAGGTTTGGCCGCAGTCACAGACAACAGGTAATTTGGATTCCATTTAACTATGGATTCTGATTTTCTCATTAAATGGGAATATTTTAAAAGCTTGGAATAGCCTTAAATATTTCAATTTGGTTAATCATTAACTTGGGAGCTGAGTAATCAGGCTTTTGCTGCTACATCAACAGAAGCTAGTAAAAACCCCAGTGTCATCAGCTGATAACTGTTTCAGTTAAAACTATTTCTACTGAACCAAATGTCCACAACCAGAACTACCGCTATGGCAGTTAGCATTGTACAGTATCAGTAGTTATCAGGTAGACATGTAGATTGAATCATCCTCTGGTGCCTAGACATGCCCGTCTCCAGTTGTGTTTGTGATATACTAAACACTGGTTGCATGTGGTTTGTTCTTTCAAGTAAGAAAAGACTTTATTCTTTAAGGCAGCCAAAGCATTGAATTTTATCTGCCTTCATACATGAACCTCATTATGTTATTTTTGTGTGCAATGAGTATTATTGATTACCTTTGCCCTCCTCCTCCCTCTCGCATCCAAATTAAAGGATAATCAGTTCAGTGCAGCAGTGGTATTATAGAAGAAATGAGAGGAAGGTAGAATAAAATACGTTTCAAGGTTGTATACTCGAGGAGAAAAAACTTAAAGAAAAAATAAGACCTAAAAAAATGGAATCTATAAGATTAAATCTTTCTGTTTGTTTGTTTTAAAGATATGAACCCTTGATGTTGAGAAAAGCAGATCGACGGCGCAGCACTACTCAGACGTGGAGTTTTCGAGATGGGAAGCTGACCTGTGGTATACATGGGCTTGTTGTACAGGTCAGCATTAGTAATTCTGTATTTAACTCACATTGACTACTAACTGTTATGAATTATGGTTTAGTCTGATGAGCTAGTAATCCAGTGATTTATAAACTTGGTTTGAAATACCTAACACAGGGCACAGAAACAAATGTTCCGCTATTGGGTTCTTTTTCCCCCTTCATAATTTTAAAAAAGTTTTATGTTCTGATATTTTTACTGGTAAAACGAATTAAATCCAATGCAGCTGTCTTTTTAATAATTTGCTTGCAAATCAGTAAAACTGGAGGCAGAATTTAGTCTTGGATGTCCCAGTTTGACACCCGGACCCATATTTAGTTAGCTGTTGTTCATCGTGGGTGTAGAGGTTCTGAGCTGTCACAGCTGACACAAAAAGTTAACATGAACTAGAATTGTGTATCACTACTGAAAAGTAGGGCAAAAAATTTGGACGCTGAATATGGGCTTGGATGTAGAACTTTAGGTATTCAAGTCTGGAAATTTTGGCCCAATGGAAATATTCAGAGGTAAACAGGATGTACAAGTCTCATTGATATAAATTTGGGACTATGCATATTCAGTCAGGCACTGTATTCTTAATGGTCCTGTTTTCCAAAAGCTTCTTAACCTGATCTCTCTTCAGTGCATACGCTTTTTAAGCAGCCAACAAATACATACACATTTGATAACTCTGCATGCAGCTGTTAGAGTTTAATTGTTCAAAAATGTGGAAAGCATTTTGGAACTCTGGCTCTGAGAGCTAAAAAATGCTGGCATTTACATTGCTCTGTTCTAGCTGTAACTGTATATTTTGTTTCATTTGGTTTTGCTCATATTTTTCTGTTCCTTGCTTTAAAATGATGGAAGGAGCATTCTGAGCATGTATGCTCTCTGTCGCAATAGAAATAGAACTTGTTTTTTGTGATAAAGTATAACATTTGTAATTGATTTTTCATAATGAAAGGATGGTCAAAGACAAATGTGCAAGCTACGCCAATAGGAATCGACCTTGGCTTAGTAAAAAGAGGGACTCTTCTAGTTACTGTGTGAGTGCTTTGATCAAACGCTGCCTGTTATGTGAACTATGCATCTGGAATGGATTTGTATGTTATAGTATAAGAGCATCACTGTTCAGAATTCAGAAGGTAGAGGGACACTGTTGAGATATGTGAGCCCTATATTTGACCTTTGGGTTTTTTTTCTTGTTCCTAAATTTCATGTAATTCTTTGTGTATGTGTCTTTTTCCAAAACAAATGCTTTGGATGCTTGTTCGTTTTCAAACAAAGCAATTAAACAGAAAAATCCAACAGCTCGGCCGTGTTGATGACTAACCCTGTAATAAAAAAAACACAAACCCAGCATGTGCATGCAATAGAGGAAGAAATATTCTGGCAAGAACCAATTTGAAGCTGGAGACAAATTTCTTCTGTTATGAGGAAAGAGAATAATATTTATGGAATTTCTTTTGAAGTTTCACTAATGTCATTTTAGGACTGTGAAACATGTATGAAAGTAGTGATTATACAAGGTACAAATCAATTATCTTGACGCTCAAAGTCCTCTGTCTCCAAGGCAAAAGGGTGACAGCAGAAGTGATGTGTTTCCATCTTGCCCCTGCCCATCTTGAAGTTAAGGGATAGCACTGGAGTTAAATATGCATTGGGTTAGCATTCACTCAGTAATGCCCCTGACATGCATAACATTTAAACACAATTAACAGATTAGTTGCACTGTTAACAGTCACACAGCCATGTGTTCAAGTCAGTTTAAGGCACGATAATACAGTAAATAAGCCACAACATTATTCCACATAAAATGTGGACTAACTCCTTAAACCGAATGTGTGGCTGGTTGGGGCTGGCCTATCAAAGATACTTAATTGTCAGGATCCAGCATGGAGTAGTCCCAGGGTTTGGGACACACCTGTCCCCTACCCAGTTAGGCTGGAGGCAAAGTCAGTCCCTGGAAACCAAACTGCCAGAGGCAAATGAGGATGGGGGGCGTAACAAGCCTGACATTGGGGAACCATCTCCCCAGTCTCGGACTCACCACACCACACCACACCACACCACACCACACCACACCACACATGTTAAAAAAAGGCACGTGCTGCTGAGCTGCACAGGGAGCTTTCTGACATTCCCAGCCCCTGAGGTCACTGGGATCAACAAACTTCTCCATATCTTGAGGTTCTTGTGCACCAGGGATGCCAGAAAAACAATGTGTGTAGTGCATGCATTTTTTTAAAGGTCTCAGCAGGACAGAACTCCAGGATCAGGAAGAGGCTCCCTGATCCCAGGGTCCCCACGTGCCAGGACTGGTAGAAACCATGCGTGCCTCTCAACTGAGGGCACACGTGGCTTTCACTCGTCCCTGGGGACGAGCACCCCAAGACTGGGCTGTCCCAGGTTGATTCCCTGGTTCTGTGGCTCTGGGACTTCAAAAAAAACAGTTTTGCTTCCCAGGTGGGTGAGCCACATGGCTCTTAGTCATCTGCGGCATAGGGATCCCAGGATTAGGCTGCAGTAGGCAGATCCCAAGGTCCCTGCTTGCCTAGATCTGTAAAACCTTGTGCCCCAGCCCAGGTCACTGGGACCCTAGGATCAGACAGTGGCAGGCCTATCTCAGGGTCTTGGTGCCAAGAAGAAGTAAAAACTGCTTGTTGCCTAGCTGGGCAGCCTGTATGGTTTTATAGGTCCCAGTGCACAGCTCTTCATTTTAAATTTTCTGATGACTGAACCTCTCAGTTACCAGAAACTCCAGAAATCAAAATACTATAAAAGACCTTATCTGCTGCAACACTCCTCACTTACACTGGTACAGAGTGGAAAGTAAAATGGGCCTAATGGCCCAGCCGATCAAATCAGTTTTCCAGCTGCATAACTACGGAGAGGAGAAAACTGTACATGTTCTCCTTAGACTGGAATTAATATGATCTATAAAACAGAGGTGACTGAACTAATGTTTTAAATTAATGTATTTAGGCGCAGTGATCTGCAATCATCTGAAACATTTAACTAGGGTTTTTGGGGGTGAGGGTGCAGGGGCCTTGGTTTTTTTGTAGGGTTTTTTTGCTGTACCCTTTTTTTGTTTGTTTTTTCTTTTCTAGGCAAAAGGAGGAATGTCAGGTTTGTATGATGGGGCAGAAGTTGTTCTTGGTCCTGATACTTCTTTAGAGGTTTTGGGGCCAGTTCCACCTGAACAACAATTTATTAACCAGAAGATGAGGCCTGGATCAGGAGTATTAGCAGTCAGAGTCATCCCAGATGGTCCAACTCGAGTTTTACAGGTGCAAGTCCTTCATATATTATGGGTCCAATGGCATTATTAATTTTGGCGATGTTCTGTAGTATTCTCTGAGTGTGTTCTTGATGGTTTTTTAGTGTGGCTTAAATTCTTATGCAAAACAGGTACAAATTGATATTAGTAATAGCATAAGGGGGAGAAACCTTAGGTAATGTGTATTAGATTCCAAAAAAAGTTGTCATTGGATTTAGTTTAAAGCGTATGTGCTACTGAATAGATCAAGTACATCTGTGACTCTCCTTGTATATAAATAAAAAAAGACACCTTAGCAGCTCATTTTTGTTTTAGATAACAGATTTTAATCAACGGAGAAATGATCGTTTATCCTGTGAGGGAGAAGACTCTCCAGTTACAGAACAAGATTTACGCAAGTTAAAGAATCCAGACACAGAGCAGGAATTAGAAGTAAGATAGGTCTTTATTTTCCTTTAAAAAGAAAGAAAGAAAATAAGGGTGTGTGCAATATTTTCCTTTTAGTCGTTTCTGCTACTCAAATATTTTGTTTGGTTGCATTTTTCCTATCACAACCCTAAATTAGAAATTGAAATTCAGCAGGGCAGGTTGAGTGTATTCAACTTGTTGCATAACATTGGTGTATATAGATGAGGGCCTCTGTGTATTTAAGGACTTTGTTGACAATGGAATACTAACCATCTCTGTTAAACCCATTAAATAAATGCATTGGTCAGAACTGTATGTTTGGCATCAAAATATCTTTTTCTAAATATCGTTTTCATTTTTGCAGGTGCTAGTGAAACTAGAAGGGGGACTAGGATTATCTTTAGTTAACAAAATCCCTGAAGAGCTGATATTTGCAAGCCTCACTGGAATTAATGTTCACTACACACACCTGTCAAGCAGTCAGGTGCTTGAACTCAGTGTACAGGATGTACAGGTAACTATATTTTGGAACAAATTGAGATCTTGCTTTTCAGTACTCATTAAAAGATTTAAGGAACCCTGGATCTGTATTATAACAGGTGTCAGAGTAATACACAACTTGCCAGTGCTTTATTTTGCAGTCCTTAAGAACAGGTGCTTTTTTTTACAGATTAAACTATAGAAGGTCTAGCATCTTTCCCTGATATCCTCATCAAAATGTGTATTTTCTATATTGAATCTGTCATCTAAAATGTCTCTCTTTTTTGACTGATCTAGCAATCAAGGTGAACTTGACAAAGTTTGAAATGATGCTACAGTTGAGATCATTACTTTTTAAAAGCATCGAAGTTAGAAGTACTAATCGGAAAACCCCAACAGGAAATGCAGTGTTAAAGCTGACCTTCTCAACCAAGGCACCTCTGCTACCTTAATGCTGCTTCCATCAAAACGAATATCAGTTGCATCATGATTTTTGCAGTTTGAAAATGATGAGCCACAGATATATGCAATATATCTGGAATATATAAAATTCTTGTATGTACTGGGTGTGACCTCAAAGAAAGCTGCGTGGATAGCATAATCCCAATATAATTAATGTTAAGTCATAAGATATCATCTGTAATTAAGTTTAGTTCCTTCTGAATCATAAGTCAGAAATCCCTTTGAGTTCTCTTCCAATTTTGGGGGAAAAAATGTTCTGTGTTGGCTGCAAGTGCAACTTGACTAATTGTGAGGCAAGTATCTCATTTTATGGATTTTAGAGGAACCGAAATCAGGATTATACTGGAAACAACTTGCAGCCTTGGAAGCCTCATACAAAGTTCATTTCAGTCAGTTATGGTCTTTCCATTGTCTTCTGTTGGTTTTGGATCAGTCCCATAAAGAAAAACCAACAGGGCATAGCAATAAAAGCCAACAGGCCAACTCAAATACAAATAGTTTAGCGAAATAATTATGCTTTCTATCTGTACTATGTTAAAACTGGCACACCGGTTCTGTATAAAATAGTTTTGAGAGAGTTTTCCCTTTTTCATCATTACATGCCAGATGGCAAATTAAGGCAATTACTTTTGAAATTTATTTTTGACAATTTTGGCTTTTTCTGCCTACACACTCAGAACAGATGAGGATTCAGACTAATCTTTCCTTTTAGTTTGATTGCAGATCCACATTTGATGTTCTGCACCTGGGCTGCTTTATGGTCTTTTGTCTTATACAGCTACTTCTCGCTTAACGTCAGAGTTACGTTCTTGAAAAATGCTACTAACCGAAATGACATTAAGCAAATCCAGTTACATCACAGTAGTTACCTACTAGCGGGTGGTGGCCAAACAACATTGTAACTGAACTTTGCCTGACTTTCAACGAGTATGTTCTGTAATAGATCAGCGACGTAATAACGAAACAACGTTAACCGGGGCAACATTAAGTGAGGAGTACCTGTACTGACAATTGAGACACCAGACTATTGATTACTACTTAGTTCTTCCACACCGTGTTTTCCTCTAGCTGTTGGAAAAGTCAGAATCTTTTTGCACTGTAAATAAACCTTACAAAACTTTTTCTCCCTGTTTGATCGCCGATGTCACCATAAGATTGGAAGTCAGAAAAGAGAGGTATAGCACACTCCTACCATACGTAGCTTCAGTAGGATGATTGAATGCTGTTGTCTTTCTTGCTGTATTTACTAAAATATGGTTCTGCATAACGGGGCATTTCAGGACTTGGCCTTTTCACCTTGGCCTTTCACCTTGCTCCTTCAGCTTGGTGGTTCAAATTCAGAGCTCAGAAGCAAATCTGAGATCTGCAGAGAACTCTTAAATATTTTTAAATGTTTGTGAAACCTATGCCTAATATGTAAACTATTGCTCAATAACAATGATGTGCATATATGTAGAATATGTTCACGTACCTATATATAGCCTTGAGTACATTGAAAAGGGGGGTCGTGTCTCAGACTCAAACTTAAAATGGGGAGAAATAAATTAAAAAAAATTTTTTTGTCGATAAACAGTTTGTGATTGGTCTAAAATTCTGATCAAACATGGCCATCTGGCTTAGCATCCTTTTTCTCTGCCTGTATTCATATTAATATTTACATGTTGCTAACTGTAGCATTTTTGACAATGAATATTAAGAAAAATGTAGTGTTTTGGGTCATTTTTGTATCTGTGGGTCACAAGACCACAAACAGCTCTCCTTTGTGGGTTCTTCTTAGATCTCTCAAATGCATCTTAGCTAACTATTTCCCATCCTTGCAGTGGCAGGATAGTAACAACACCCTTGTCGTGTGACAAATTAGGATGTTCTTGGTGTTTCGGAGCATTGTACCTGATAATTGCACAAGAGGGTTGGTTGGTTGTTAATTTTTAATGTTAGACAAACACTTGTATTGGATAGTTTAGAAAGGGATGTCCTGCCTTGAGCAGGGATTGGACTAGATGACCATCCAAGGTCCCTTTCAGCTAATTCTAGGAGCTTATATTTTATCTTGTGTCCTTGCGTATTTTGAATAATTATGTGATTTCTTTTTAATGTTGTAGGTGGATAACCAGCTTATTGGCACCACTCAGCCTTTCATGCTCTTTCTGACTCCAATAATCAGTGAAAATAAAGCAATTGAGACAGGCCCCGCCGTGCAATTAAATGCAATGAAATTTCCCAGCAAGAATGCACTAACAGATATATACAAGGTAAATTCTTGAATGTAGCATTGAAACGTCACTGTATTTCTTATGGTGTCTTCCTTACTGTGTTTCTTTCTTTTCCTTGGAGTCTCAGAACAGCAAGCTCCCTATACCTGATGAAAAGTGCTTGTGCCCAAAAGCTTGCATATAACCTTTTTTTCCCCAACTACTCAGTTGGTTTAATAAAAGAAATTCCATCTACTTAAAGAACCTCGCCTGACAGTATTCTTTAAGTGATTTTACATGTCACTAGTTTTTAAATAGTCTAACTAAAGGGTACTAGAGCCTAGTGAATAAAGTACCAGCCTGTAGAACACTTCAGTCTTGCAGGCTAATGAAGTGTTTTCTGGGTGATGGCCTACAGTCTGCTGTGATCTAGTTCTGAGGCTGAGAGGACCTTTCATCTTCTCAGGTGTCCTTTTAGGATATATGTTCCAGGTATACGTCCTCCCAGTATTCTCATAGGATACTTTCATACACAGAATATCCTATGTGCGTTATTAAGGGATTGTCTATCCTTTGTTCTTTTAAAAAAAAAATCTTTCTATACCATCTTCAAGAATGAAAGCAAGGACCTGAGTTTAATTCATTGTCTGAAGGCTATCCTCTGTAGCACTGTAGTAGATTGTAGACTGTATGAAACTGGACCAAACCTTTGATTCTTCAAGCTGTTAACTGGTGCTGAAGCTGGCAAGCCTGATCAGTTGTGCTAATCTAGGGGTGGGCAAAATGCGGCCCATATGTAGCCCGCGGGGCCCCTAAAAAATTTAGAAAATTAATATTTTTCTGCCCCTGGCTACCCATCATATGGCCCTCGATGGCTAGCCAAAACTCAGTAAGCGGCCCTCTGCCCAAAATAATTGCCCGCCGCTGTGCTAATCTTTTTTCATGAGTTGTCTAAGTGAGAAATTTTCTCACTGGTTCTTATGATGAATCGCTGTCAACTTGTAACATAAACCTTATTCTAAATGGCATAACTTAAAATGTTAATTAACATCCACTATTTCTTGCCTACATTTCAGTGAAAAACCTGGGTAAGTTATCAGACTAGTATGGAACCTAACTCTTCAAACCGTCCTTATTTTTTTTAATGTTGATGCTATTTTGAAAAAATTATTGCATTATCATAGAGTCCTACTGATAGCAATAATTCTGAAGCTGTAATGTTTAGTAATTGAGTGTGAATAACTGAAAGAACTAAGCAGATAGAATTCACTGCAGATTTCTGGTAACTTTAAGGGGGGTGGGACTTGAAACATTATGAAACTGTATCACTAAAAGAGCTTGGGTAAGTTAAAACAGACCTCTTCACTTAATGCCTTAGGTGGCTTTTATTTCTATTGTTCACACTGTAAATCAAGATGCATTTATCTTTTGTAGCATCTGATGATCACAGCTCGGAGGTTCACAGTTCAAATTGAGGAGAAACTACTCCTGAAACTATTGAGTTTCTTTGGCTATGATCAGTCAGAATCAGGTACAGTATAAAGTTACAAGGTCAGTTCCACAATATGCCAATGTCTTTGTCTGCATACAAAATTAATTCAAAATGCCTGGCAAATTCCATTATCAGATTGAATGCCTTTTGCTGCCTGGAAACTTCCAGTCCAAGGCTTAGATGTATCAATAGCCTTTTTAGAGCAGCTTACATAGTCTATGGTATTTGTTAACAAAATTCAGGCAGCGAGTGACCCATGTAATGTTGTATTGTCCAGTGTGTGGTGGCTCAGCTGAAACCCTATGGGAGGAAGCTGAAAATTCCTCTTCAGTTCCTGTATCTGGATTTACCCGAACTAGTATAAAAGAAATGATGTTGTTAATTTAGCAAACCACGTTTGTTTGGTAATGTTTGTTTATTAAACAAACCAAAGGCAAGAAATGGAGATCTCTCTTCATTTGTTCCTGGGCCAGTTCCTTTTTGTTAAATGAGGAGGAAAAAATAGGCTGGCCCAGCTTCTTAACTTGTGACCTCCATATGCTTGGCTTTACTTATAATAAAAGTTTCCTTGCTCTCAGTTGAAACAAAATAAACCTTTGACTGTCTTAATCTCAGAAACGTCTCTCTAATCCTTCTATTTTAGGGCTTATCTATCCTTGGAAACTTACTCAGAGAGCAATTCAGGAATATTTTTTAAATAATCTGATGTTATGGAACAAGAATGTCTAAGTGCGGATTTGCACTGAAACAACTGGCTTAGAACAGCTATTTTAATAAATTTTCATGTGCAGACCAACCTTTTAGACCTTTTTTCTGGTTCCAGTTGATGTGGCATCCTAGTATCTCTCAATCTATGATGTATTTATCCTCCTAACACCCTTGTGAAAGAAGTCAAATATTTTGTCCCCATCTTAAATATAGGAAACTGAGACCAAGAGAAACCAAATGATTTTTATTCTAGGTTATGAAGGAAGCCTTTAGCAAAGCAGAGAATTGAACCAGGCTCTTTTGAGCATCAGGCTAGCACACTAATGATTATCCTCTCAGTTTACCGTATTGCTTTTGCCATTCTTTTTTGTTTTTGTGTATTGTTTCCTTGCTTTCTCAAGAGAGATTTCAGTATGTATACTAACTAGGCACTGCTAGTGGACTCTGATATCTTGTCATCAAAGATACAAACGCTATAAAGATTACTTGGTAAATGTTTAAATGGAAATGGAAAAAAAGCCACTAACCTTTAAAATTTATAAAGAAGGCTTTATGGACATTAAAATGAACACACAAAAGGTCAGCTTGCCTTTTTTATTTGAAACGCCAGCAATGTATCTCTTTGTGCTCCTTTCTGGATGGTCCAACACAACTAGAGTCTATGTCACATGAGATTGTACCTAAGTTGTTTTTGTCCTCATGTTATCTCCCAGCAGGAGTAAAGGGAGAGGGGGAGAAAAGGAAATTGTAGGGCGGGGGGTTTCTCAACTCAATTTTAGAGTGGGAGAAGAAGAATGGAAGCCAAGATTATTTTGTGTTCACACATGCATAATGCACACACACATCAAGGTCCTCCAAAGAGCTTTTCTGTGTCCTCTATTTATAAGGGGCAGAGAAGAACTGTACAATTCATATGTGAACTGTAAGTATAAACTGGCTGTGAAGGAAAACATCGTGACTGAACTCTAAGTAATGAGATTGTGTTAGGACAGGAGCGGGCAAAATGTGGCTCAGGGGGCCAGATGTGTCCTGCCAGGCCATTCTGTCTGGCCCGCGGGGCCCCTAAAAAATTTAAAAAATTAATATTAATCTGCCCTGGGCTGCCTGTCATGCAGCCCTCGATGGCTTGCCAAAACTCAGCAAGCGGCCCTCTGCCCAAAATAATTGCGTGCCCCTGTGTTAGGAAGTTGGGTGGCAGACTTTTTTTAATAACTGCTGGTAGGCAACTTGGGTTTGGAGCTGAAAACACTAAACTATGCAGGTTCACCCACATCACAACTTAGATATTTTTTGTGTTGCCAGACATCGGAAAGTCATGATCTTAAGTGTGCCTACTGGATCCATTCATAATCTTTGGCAGATAGTTTTCCTAAAGCTAATAAGCATGTATAAAACATGCATTCGTAGTTATAGATGTATTCATCACTACTTGTTTTGTTTCCCATGGTCTCTCCTGGTAGCAGAAGTTGAAAAATATGATGAAAACCTCCATGAAAAGACTCTTGATCAAGGTGGGGCTCAAAAGCGATACTACTTTGAGAATCTCAAAATCAGTGTGCCACAGATCAAGTTGAGTGTCTTCACTTCCAACAAACTGCCTTTAGACTTGAAGGTAAGCCAGTGTATGTGCCTTCTGATCAAATGTGTGCTAGCAAATGCCTTTTCCAAACAGAAGTTTTACTGGAGGAGGAAAGGGTATTCTGGTTTTAACACGCTGCCTGCCATCTATTGCCAGGTATTCAGTATCATCCTAAATTGTAAAATTCTTGCGCAAGCTTTCTTGCATCAAAAAGCTGACAGATTTAGTGTTCCAAACCATCTGCCTTCATAGTATGCTTTGAACCCTGCCTGCCCCAAAGAGAGAGGGGCAGTTCAGATATGAAATGAACCTACCACAGGGCTGACGTTTAGTAGTCTATTCCAAGAGTTGCATATTATTATTCACCTTAAGGAGATGAGTATTGTATGCTCCATTCACGGACTGTACTCTGTTCACCCAGCTCTGAAGAGTTCTCTTACTTTAATAAACTTAGAGCGTCACCAGGAACCGCAGTAAATATTCACCTGCATATGGGGGTCTCAGTTGCTTCCTTCCTCTTCCAGTCTCTTTTCTGCACCTCTGTAGAATGCTTTATAATCCTTTGAAAATAATTATAGAATGAGTAGTGAACAGTGTGGCAGCCATTAGTGTGCCCATTTTTACCCTCCCTTTGAAAAATACCTGTACCCAGAATTGAAAGTTGTATTAAGCTCCTGAATAGTTTTTTTGCAGCTCAGCTGTTACTTATTGCAGCAGTGTTGTTAATGGTCACATCTGTGAGCTTTTTAAATTCAGAATAGGTTAGCAGCTCCAGTATGAGCCTGGCCCCGAAGTCATCTGACAGTTTTTGCCAGAGGTATCCAGAATTGGAAAAATAATTTGCTGCTGCTTGCTGCCAAGGCATTTTGCAGTGTCTGCTTCAAAAATACTTGAATACTTTTCACTAATGCAAAAGGCATACAACTCTCATCAGAAGCATGAAAATGCACCTTCAGTAGCAAAAGTGCATCTGTGCTTCTCAACTGTGTTGCGTGGTGAACTGCATCGAAATTGTTGCTTTACAGGGAGTTCTAGAAATGTCAATAATACTCTGAAAAGATTACAAAAAGAATGCCTCCATTTGAAGAGAGTAGGGAAGTGTTTAATATTGAAGAAGAAAGGCAACCAAACTCCTCAACTCTTGGGAGTAGAATAGGAAGAGATGTTAAACAGTGGTGTTTTTTTTTCAGATTGAGAACTGCAGTCTTGCAATGTTCATTTAATGTCAGTGAGAAGTTGGTTCCATGGGGCCTTCTAGAAAGAAAAATCAAAAACACGGCCCTTTGATACAAAAACAGGTTTCGATGCTGTTCTGTTTCATGAGAACTGTGAAAGAGTTTTTTGGGGGGGTTTTTTTTCATTCCAGTGCTGAACAAAAAAAAATTGGAGACCTCAAGAGCTTGATACAAAATAGGATTATGTTTCTCCGCCCATCTGTATTGCCACCTGTAGTGGTGGAGAAAGTCCAAATCTAATAATTCCCCTGAACAGAACCCTTCCACTGTTAATCCTTCTTATGTTCATCACTGTATAGTTAAAGAAAAGAGAGAGGAGGGCATGCTGCTTTTGTTTTAAAAACAGAGTCATGGAAATAAGAGACTGGGAAATCTCTTGCATTATCTAGTCCATTTCCACTTCTGCCAGCATGAAAGCTGCAGAAGAATGTCCAACTAGTTTATGGGATGAAGGGGAGGACCAAGGAATCCAGCTGTGGGCTCAGTCACGGGAAGCAAGAGCATCAACCCCACTTGCTCATCTTTTTTTTAGAAGAAATGATGCTATAAGCAAAGGCAGCCCAAGAACAGGCTGAGACACAGCTTGTGATTTAAAAAGCGATTTAAAACATAAGATTTCACTCTCTCTCATCAGCCCAGGAGTTGTTCCTTCTCCAAATCTGGCTGAGGATTGGGGAGAAGCAATAACAGAACATGGAGGCCTGTATAGTTGGCTGATCCAGTTGGAAAGAAACATGCATTTTCCAGACAAAGGCAGCATTTAGCAAGAGCTACTTACAGTCCTTTCAAAATCTTAAGAACTTTTGCTGGAAAATGTTACAGTCCCTTGCTATTTTACACTCCCTCCCCAATGCTCCATGCTATTTTCTTTCTTTATTTAAAGAAACCAGCATTACTTCCTCTGTAAAAAGGGAGGCATGTCCTAGCATTATCCCATCTGCCAGCATTACCCCAAAGATCTAGGCATATATTTTTGTCTTTTTTTTCCTCATCAAACCGGTCTGTAGGTATAATATATAATATTATATATTACTTTCAGAGAAGGGAGGTCCAGCATGCTCCGTGTTGTATACAGTAGTTGCATATCAAAGCAAAGGAAGAATTGACAGTTGATCTTTATAGCCAAGTTGTTCCTGCTACTTCAAATGTTTCCAGACTGCTTATTTATTGTGATGTTAGCATAATAAATAATGTAAGCGTTATTAAGTGCCTCTCTTGATCAGTCTGCTTTGCTGTAGCATCTTAGTTTTTAGTAGGAAAAGGCTGTTTGTGTAAATAAGGAGCTGGGTTGCTAACAACTCTTCAATTACTGCCTAAATATGGCTTTTTTTTTCCCCCTACATTAATTTAGACCAGCTATGTAACATAACTAAATGGCCGGCAGGTGGCAGAATAACTCACGTTACTTGACTAAGCTGTATATTTTAGCTTGGCATGTAACAATGATTAATTTAGGAAAACCAGGAAACAAATATCATAGACTTCTTGATACTTTAGAGTGTCAGTGCATTAGGTATGTAGTATAAACTCTGATGTTAGGTATGTGACTGAACAAAATACTTCAATAATTTGTCACTTAAAAATGTGTGTGGGGGGGGGGAATTGCATATCCTTACAGCTTTTTAAAAGAAAGGTAATGGAAGGTAGAGAGTTCCCCAGTAGTTTTTTATTTTACTTTGTTGTTGTCTTTAATGTCATACCTCATACTTGTTATTTTATTTATTTTCCTTGAAAAACCTCCAGGAATTTAACATTATGAGCAGATTCTAAATGTTTTGTAGTACAAATGTCACTGTCACCTTTTATCATTACCTGTTTACTCAGTCACTCCCTCTCTCTCGCTATCTCTCTTTCTTCCCTCTTTTTCCCCTCTGAATTCACTTTTCCAAACTGTTTAGGATCTTAAGCAAAGCTAAGACAAGAGATCATAAAGTATGGTGCCATTTGTGTAGCATTCACTGTGGAAACCAAGCATCACTAGTTTCCTGTAAACTCTTTCCTGTATGTAATATGCCATGACAATGGTGGCAGTAACTTTTCTGATGTGGTCACTTCTTAGAATCAAAAATGATTTAGAGACATGGTTCATGAATGGGGAAAGTACTGCCAATGCCAGCCCTAAATTTCTGTGAGTGTGTGAATTTAAGACCGAGTTTGAGTCATTTCCATGAATCAAAATGAACTGTACAAGTTCTGAGATGAGCAAAATTATTTCAGCTACACTGTGACTTGGTACCAGACATATTAATACTGTCCAACAGCTGCAGTTGACACCTCTGAAATCCACATTTTTTTATTTAAACCCATTGAATGCGCTAATGGGTAGCACTTCAAAAAGGGCACCGTCCTTTTCAATCTTACTTTCTCATTGACATCATCTAAGACGATGATGATCAGTTCCCCCATACCCCCCCCGCCACTTTCATCTCTTCCATCATCTTTCTATTAAAAGAAACTTCCTCTCTTGCTATTATCTCCACCCCAGCTCTTTGGCTACTGCCAAGGTAGCATAGGTAACCTTACCTGTAATAACGTCTCTA